CATGTCTCTGGGTTTCCCGCAGCTCCTAAGGTCTAGCTGAGTCTTCTCTCCATAAGAAAGCCGTATGTCTCACTATTTTCCTAAGTCAGGTTTCAGCTTTAGTGTCCCTTTCACAGAAGACCGTCCTGATTGTTGTATCTGAAGTCTAGCTCCCCTGTGGTTCTCGATTTTAACTCCCTGTTTATGTCCTTGAGAGGACATTACAATTTAATATTATAAATTTTATACATTTTATATCTTTATTTGCTTATTTCCTGTCTTCCTCAAAGAATGTAGATTCAAACGAGGGCATACCTTGAAAGTCTCCCTCACTGCTGATTATTGGGTGCCTGGCACACAGCGGATATCACTGCATATTTGTTCAATAGATAGATGACTTTAAAACAAATACAAAAAAATTCACGTTTAATTTTTTTTATCACTTTCTTGATCTTCTGTGGTTCTTAATTCATTATGCAAGTGCTTAATTTTAAACAAATCCTTTTCAGTTTATTATTAGAAAAAAATATTGAACATGACATTTCACTCTTTCAGGGAATGCTGAGCACTGGGAACAAAATTGCCATGCCAAGAGAATATTTTTTTGGAACGTTATGTGGAAATTTGTGTCAAGGAAACAAATTGGGGCTGCTATCTTAGTTATTTGTCTCAATCTTTGTGTTACCTTGTGATTGATTTTAAGAAAGTGAAGTGTGCTAGTTGCCCTATTTACCACTATAATCTGTCAATATGGCATATAAACCAGATTTCAGGGCAACAAATGCACAAAAACAAGAAGGCTGAACTCTCTGGGACTGAGAGTCATTAGAAGTTATGAGTCTGAGAGACTGTGCTCTTATACTTTTCAGGTAATTCTCCATTGAGGTCCATTCTCTGAAAGCCAAGCAAAGGGACCCAAGACGCCACAGTATTTATCAAAACTAGACGACAGCTTAGTACTTTAGAACTGAGTTATTAGATTAGGAAGGAGGCCAAATAGTCCAGCCAGGGACCTGATGACTCTTCTGCCCTGTTGGAGGTGCTCAGGTGATGGATTGAACGACACGAGTGAAGGGAGAGTGGGTAGTATTGTGGATAAGAGAACAATTCGGACACCACAATCAAACATTAGTCATAATTGTAGAATTCCAACCATCAGGGTGAAAGGTGAAAACTGTCTACTAAAATGCACCTTGAAGTACACCTGCTGTGCGGATATCTGAAGAATCTGTCTGAATGAGTGTGTGTATGTTAAGTGAATTGTACTCATCTCCTGGGGCTACCATAGCAAAGCAGCAGGAACTGGGGTGCCTAAACAACAGACATGTACTGCCTCCCAGTTCTGGAGGTGAAGGTCTGAGATCAGTGTGTCTGGAGGATTGGTTCGCCCTGGGGCTCTAAGGGCAGGATCAGTCGGGCCTCTGGCTTGCAGACGGCCGTTTTCTTCCTTCATCTTCTCGCCCACTTCCCTTTGCGTGCGTCTGTGAGCGACTTTCCCCTTCGGATAGGAGACCAGTCATTTGGATTAGGGCCAACCCTGACGGTTGCCTCTGTCGAGACCCTAGCTCTAAATAAGGTCACATTCTGAGATGCTAAGGGTTAGGACTGCAACACAGAAATTTTGGGAAAACACAATTCAACCCATAACAGACTTTTATGATTAATTTAATTATATAGCATTTTATTATATAGAAAATAAAAGAACCTATGTCAAAAGTTTTTGCTTCAGTTATAAACTACAAAGCACATCTAAAAATATCTAACAAAGTAACTGCATTTATAGAAATTAGCATGTGCTCTATTTATGCAATAGTCTATGACCCATAAGCAAACTACAATAAAACTGTTTTTATAATAAAGAAGTTAGTATCTTTACATTGGAATTTGTCTTTGAGCATTTATTTAGCCTTAGCTGGAGTCTGTAACAAGCACCCTTTTGGGTTAGAAGTTCGGCATTAATTACTTAAAACAACACCAGAGGACACATTTTCTGCAGAAGGAGCTACATGTGCTAATGAAGCTTGGAGTTCACTGGGGATTGCTGTTAATGTTTCTCTTGCTTTCTCACTAGTGAGATCGAAATTATAAGATGGATGGATTTTTTTCTTTACCCATTATTTAAAAACCAGATCACGGTTTAATTTCACATCGAATCGCCCATAAAATATTAAATAAGGTAAATTTAACACAACTATCCAACTTAGGAAAGTGCTAATTTAAAAAAAATATTTATCTTTATTGTTGAAAATATTTTTTGTTTTTCTTTGTTTTTAAATTCTTAGCTGGGTTTTGTGGAGAACCACTGCAAAATCCATTTTCTCCCTCTTTGGAATGGTGCTGCTTGTCTGACTAAGAAGGGCACTGCCCTTCAATAGTTGTGGTCTCTTGGTTTGATAAGAAATAAAAACCTGTGTTCCTATATTGATCTCATTATCTTGTGGTTTTCCTAATTTTTTTTCCTATGGACAAAAATAATGCTAATTTTCACCTTCAGTAAAAGGTTATTCTGCCATTCCTCTGGCCTTTAGTGACGGAGCCTGTGATGTGGAGTCCATACAGTGATCTCATTTCCTGATATCTGTTGTCTTTTTCATGCCCCTCCTGCCAATGCCCGTGTTTGTTCTCCCCCCAAGTGCGTGGGTGCGTGTTCTGCCTGATGCGCTCATTGCTGCGGGCGAGGCCTCCCTGACTGGCAGCTGGGAGTAGCAAGGGGCTGTGACTCAGACGCTTCAGTGGCCTTTGTGCCACTGGCCCTGCCCGGCCTGCCAGGCGGGGCGAACGGTGTAGCGCTGGGATGTGATTGCCTGAAACCACAAATCCAGATTCATTCGAATGAAACTGATTTTGATTTGCAGTCCAAGAAGGGGAGGTTCTGGAAATGCCACCATGCTTTCTTTCCCCTGGTCTTTAGCTGCATTGTAATATTACTAGGATCGATTTTATTTAAATCCATTCTTGTTGAATCAGAGTGGCAATAGTCAAAACCCAGGTTAAAAAAATTCCCCCCCCCGTAAAAGTGCATCCGTAATGGATAGAACTATATGAAATACTTATCGTGACTCAGCGGGTTTAATTCTGACTTTTTAGAAGAAACTACGCAGTAAACACATGGGCTCACTTTCTCAAAACTACTCTTTCCTCAAAGACAGTTTGCCATTCCTCACTCTCTGTCTAGGAATCATTTGCAGCCTTGAAACTATTTTGGGAGAAAGGTAAGGACTTAAATTTAGATGTGCCTGTGTAGAGTTGAGCAAGTGCACGTCCTCTCATTTCCAAATCTTTTACTTCTACTAAAAAACATTGCGATCTGTATATTAACTTCTCCTATGTATTTTTTGGGATCTGCCACGCTAGTAACATACATAATCTGGTTAATTTCTAAGGGAAAATAATCCACAGAATCTTAGACCTCACTCCAGAGCCACGTTATGAGTATCTGCGGGGTAGACCTTGGTAATGGCAGTTTTTATAAAAGCACCAGGTTTGGGAGCCTCTGTCCTGGGCTGGCTGTCAGTACCCATTTGGTACAGTGGGTTCTCTTTGATCTTTCCAGACAATCTACAGTGAAGTTGCCAGAAAGCTCTGATGAAATTCAAGATTGGTAATGAGTTACTCATAAAACAATCCTCTAGAAATTTTACAATGTAATTGACAATATAAGCTATATATTTTATTCCATTATTATAGCTTTGAAGTTTGGGGTATGTCTTGCATTAAAACTACCTTTACAGAAGGTTTTTATTCCCTAAATCCCAAGTTTCAACACATTTCTTTTCACTTTAAAAACAACCTGGTTTTTAAAATTGTTTAAAGTGTCATTGACACCAAAAGAAGATTAAAACTAAGATGGAATGAGTAAAAATTGATTTTTGATGGTGTTAAATTATTCTCTTTTGAATGGATAAGTAAGAGTTTAATTACTATTTGGAAAGTAAATCATGCATCTTATTACTTCTAGTGTATCATATAACTAGAAATTTATCACCTACTGTTAGAGACAACAAACTGAAATAGGATGAGTATAAAGGGCACTTTAGCTGTCTGATTAAGCAGAATTCATTGATTTGTGTGTTTCTAACAAGCCCAGTGTTTTGTCTCCATGTCCCATATAATGGTTCAGTAAATTTACTTTATAACTTTAATTCTCTATCCTTCAATACAGTGCTTGTTTCCAGAATTTATCTTTAGTTACCCATCTCCTAGGTTCAGAACATCTTGCTTAAAACATCAGGAATTGCTTTCTGTTTATTTTTAAAATATGGATTCTGGCATTTCCAGAGGAAAATGTTATCAAAAAGTTGAAAATAATCTGATACAGAAACTGGTGTTTATATGTGTGTGAGAATGTGTGGGTGTGTATTTCCAGGGCTTATTTCCACTGGAAAATTGATGGAGGAAGTATATATGTTAAGGTATCAACTTTGGGTCTTTTGTTCTTGGACTCATTCTGAATTTCCTGAGGTTCCCAGTTATTTTAAATATACTTGAAGACCACGGTTGAATGAGATGATAGAATAATACCTTTTAGCAACACAATGTGATTTTATGGTACTGACTCTGGTTTGGGATTCCGATTTCTTATTTTGTAGGCTCGAATATCCCGATGTACCCTTTGCATATCTCTAGGAATTATGCTTTGGTCTTTATGCAGACCTCGCATATTAGCCACTTTATTTTGGCATTTATTTACTAGCTAACTACTAAGTGCTACCTACTCAAAGGGTACAATACGTATTCAAGTGAGCTCCGGGTAATGTTTGGAATTCAGCTTGCCTGTCGTGAATATTTGCTTTAATATTTTACCAGTCCACTTCAAGATTTTGCCAACAAAAATCCATTGTTCAAAAGTCTATATTTCTCAGTTATATAACTGAGGTGTCAACTTCCTTCTTTTCCAGCTTAGTGTGCATAGTGTCTTGAGGTGAATAAAATTGCATTTTAATACTACATGTTTCATGCAGCTCCTTAGATCTCAAATCATACCCACAATAGTAAGAGTTGTCTCCTTATGTTCTCATTAGAATTCTACCAAATATCTGGCTGGGTAGCTGCCCTCGCCAAGTGGAACACGTAACCATCAAACTGAAGCATGAATTGGGGATTACAGCTGTAATGAATTTCCAGACTGAATGGGATATTGTACAGAATTCCTCAGGCTGTAACCGCTACCCAGAACCCATGACTCCAGACACCATGATCAGGCTGTACAAAGAAGAAGGCTTGGCCTACATCTGGATGCCAACACCGGATATGAGCACTGAAGGTAAGGATCAGAACCATTCTGGCTCCCTGTGAAATGTGTTTCAGAGAAGCCCTGGCCTGCCTACCTTTCTTTCTATAATTGATTGACCTAAATATGAACGATACAAATGGAATAAGGGAAAGGGTTTAGGTTTAATATATTTAATATCTATCTTTTGACACCTTAGCTGAGGTTCTGTTTAGCATGGGTCCTTTGTTTATTCATGAAACATGTATCTATTGTGTATCTACTGTGTATGTGGCACTATGCTGTGGCAGGGAATACAGTGAAGATAGGCAGGACAACTCCTGTCCTCATGGAGCTTATAATCCTGTAGGTAAGACAAGCATTAATTAAATGACTACAGATAGAAATTAAGAACTGCGATGAGTTTTTGTTGTTGGTGTTAGAAAGATAGGCAAATATTGCTATGAGAGCATGCACAGACAGTCAGACCTAGGAAGGGGGCTCAGGGGAAGTGTTCTGGGGAAGCAGTGTTTGAACTAAGATCTGAAGTGAGGGTTGGGGTTGGGGGTAAGGCTCCCAGGCAGAGGGAGCAGCTTTTGAAGAATCCCTGTTGCACGAGAGCATAGAGGGTTGTAGGAACTGAAAATAGGCCGGTGTGGCTGCAGATCAGAGGATCAGGGATGTGAGTCTTGCAGGATTTGGGCACAATAAGGACTTCAGACTTTACCCTGAAGTGGTGAGAAGCAGTTGAAAGAGCTGGAGGCTGAGAGATGCCCAGATAACCATTTTCTTTCCCTGTAGCAGTGTAGAGAATTGATTGGGGTGGGCCCAGAGTGGGCCTGTGACACCAGTGGGGACGTTGTTGCGACGCTGAAGTGAGAGATAATGAAAAAGATAATTCGGTTCAGGAAAGAGGGTGATAGTGAGGCTGCATTTATTGCACAGGTACTGGCTGAGCCTGTCTTTGTGAGGAGAGAATTGTGACGTGCCATGGGCGCTGCTGAGGGGAACAGACAAATAAGGCATAGTTTTGATCTCATGGCGAGGGGCAATAAGACAAGTTCAAGACTATCTACAGCGCAGAAGGAACATGACGAGAGGAGTGATGTGCTCTAGGAGAGTTATGATGGGGGAGGAGCCTTTCTGTGAAGAACAGGCAGGCGAAGTGAGTGTCCTGGCATTTGATGTGGGCATGACAGATCAATGTGGAGGGAGGGAAGAGGGCATGTTAGGTACAAGAAAGCATAGGCCAAGGCACAGAGACATGGGATTTTAGGGGAATGATCTGTATTTCATCCTGGTGGTAGAATAGAGTTCTTGTAGAAAAGGAATGGAGCCAGTAGAAGCCAAGAGAACCAAGTTACACTAGTAGTATGAATAGATGTCAGCAGGGGTCAGCAGAGAGCTGTAAAAATGGCACAGGCCAAGGGAGTTGGGCCAGCACTGTCCCAGGGAAAGAAGGAAGCAGACCTTGATGCCTAGGGAGGAAACGTTTCTGTCATCAGCCCTCTTCCCCGAGAAAAGTCCGTTATGTATCAAACACTCTCCTAAGCAGCTGCTTGCATTAACTCATTTAATTCTCACAACAAGAGTCTGGACATGCGTAGATATCTCTATGTTGCAGAGGAGGAGTCTGAGGTGCATAAAACATAAGTAACCTGGCCAAGGGAAATGACAGACACAGCCTGGATTTCAGTGCAGACAGCCTGACTCGGCACATTGCTGCAGACACCATACATGCTCACGTGAACTCTCCACGCGCATTCCACAGGCCACCACACTTTCAACCTGTCATTTGCCTCTTTAGCTGGAATTAGGCAAAGTCATGAGTTGCTGGGGAAGTAGCTAAGTCTTTAGAATCACAGGCTGCCTGGCCCGTGGCCACATTGGCTCTTTATCAATCTCAGGAGGCCCTGTGGGCCCAGCTGGACCCCTTTGTGGGTCTGTGTGTGAACTGAGCTATCTCTAGGAATGAGGTATAATTTTTGTTCCTTAAAGAGGGCATAGTTTGGCTCTTCCTCTTGGTAACGCTGATCCAAAGAAGCTTGATTTAGCCACACGAGCTTTGTCTTTTTCCCAAGGGAGGGGAAAAAGTTTCATTTGCACAGAAGAGCACTGGTTGAATGTAGGTCATATTTGTCCTGTTGAGCTTGTTTCTCTGGTTTCAAAACAGAGGAAATCGTCAGGGTAGTGCACCTACAGCTCCCAAAGGGCGTTTAGATGTTCACTGCTTTGATTCTGGTTCTATAGCATTGCTATCCCATTGGGATATTGTGTGAGATGAGGCTCAGGGAAGTTGCAGTAAGTGTGGCGTGCATCCCAATCCACTCCATGCACTGGCTACCCGAGGGCCCTGCTGACAGACTGGGAATTTGCATGCTCATCACTAAGACCCGCTATAGTTGTATTGAAACCTTCTGGGGGTCTGTCTTTATGAAGACAGAATTATGATGTGATATGGGTGCTGCCAGGGAAACAGACAAATAAGATCATTCCTCTATGACTGGGGGTGCCAGTCACAACAGCAGAGCATCCTCCACACTGACTACGTGAAATGACTGCAGAATGAAAGCTCCCACTTGAAAAAGGCTAAACCCCAAGACCACATAGAGGGTTTCTTTGGTTCAGCATAACCTGGCAAGTCATTGTGGGGTATTGACCATTTCGGAATCCCTAAGCAATTTTTGACCAATAGATCCATTTATGCAACTCACAGTATTAGCACAGTAAACATATAGATTAGTTCTGCTGAATATTTTTAGAACTTTAGAGAAAAATCCGTCTGGAAGTGTTTTGAGCCACATAATGCTGTCGTGAGCTTTCTGAGAAAGAAGACAGTCTGTTAGGACTGACTTGTTCCAATTGATTGTGCCATCCATCCTTGCCTGGTATATTTTGTGATATGCAAAGGGGTTGGTTAGGTTTTTTCTTTCTTTTTTTCTTATATTTTGGTTGTGTCTTTCTCCTAAGAAACAAAAAACTCCCAAATTTAGCATTCATCTGGAAAAAAACCCCCAAATGTGTTCACCAAGATTCAGTTTCCCTTCACATAGGAAGCACTGTGCTTGTGTTCGGCCCTCTGCCAGGGCCGTGCTTGGATAACGAATGGTCTCTGCTTCCCAAACCAGTCCGCGTGCTGCCCAGCCCTCAGCCACCCCGTTGTCACAGTCTGAGTTGTCGTCTCTGACTCAATGCAGGGAATTCAGCGCTGCCATGAGGCAAAGACGCTGACCCCGGAGCCACAGCCCCGGGCTCGAGCCTCGTCACCCTGCGGGGCTGCGTGATGCTGGGCAGACTGGCTCCTGAGAGGGAAAATGGGTGTAATAATTTCTGCTTGACAGGATCATAGCAGCAGGGGAGGTGATGCGTGTGAACATGCTTTGAAAATCCCAAAGTCGGGACTATACTATTAGTCCCAGGTCCTTAATTTCTACCAAAGGGTGTTACAGATAAAAGAACCTTATCCGTGTTCCACTGCAAAGGTAGAAAAGAAGACATCCTCAAAACGTAATAATATATTCAGCCATCAGTCTGCCCCGTATCAAGAAAGGAAATTAAATTCTGTATGAAGCCAAAATCCACGAAACATAAAAATTAGGGGCTCTGGTTGACACTGGCCCTGTGGTGTGAGCCCTGGTCCTCTTTTTATTCCTCGGTGGGTTACAAATTAGCTAAGGCTCCCTAGAACGGTCTTCACGCAGAGCGACGTGGGCACGTTGGGCACAGATGGCCCCTCTGGGGTTGGTGGCAGAGGTGCGCAACCCCAGGCCAGGCGTGACTCACACACAGGGGTAAAAGCAGAGCATGCCCAGGGAGAGGGGACGCAGGGACTGACTGGGAGCTCAGGTTGGCAGCATGGGGGCAGCAAGAACCACTGACCAGGGAGGCTAGGGAAGGACTGTAGCACAGGGGTTAAGACCAGAGGCTTTGGCGCCTGGCTGGCCGGGTTTAAGTGGCCATGAGGGAGTAACCTTGGGAAAACCTCTGTGCCTCAGTGTTTTCAGATACAACAGAATAATAGTAGTCCCAACCTGGTTGTTGCTAAGAGGTGGCTGTAAAGGGGCCATTGCATGCTCAGTGCTTAGCACAGCACGTGGCTGGTAGAAAGGTAGGAAGAGCTGCCCTCAAAGCAGGGTGATTTGCAGTCCCCGGAGATGAAAATAAACAAGGTCTCACCTGAGGCCAGGCTGAGATGGGTGGGCACCCTGGACCCACCACTTCTCTATATTATTTGTTCACTTTTTATGTTATTTAAGAATCTGTTTGACAGTTCTTAAGTGGAATAGCTGAGTGATTTTAGGAGAAGACCACTGGTGTGTGAAACCTGTGTTTAAACTGGGAGCCTTCTGGAGCCTCCACGTGGCTGCTGACATGCACCTTCCAAGATAACGTATCTGAGATCATAGAACCTCAAAGTGACACATATCCGATTTCCACTTCTAAACACACATCCATTTTCAGCAGTTTCAACTTCTAAACTATTTGCATGCATCTTGAAGAATCTTTGACAGATAACAAGGAAGAGGGGAGATATTGCATCATTTAGGACATTTGGTGCAGACCAAATGGCCAGAGAAAAGGTCAGGGGAGAGATCCTGATGGTCCATGGTCCATGTAATCCCTGCACTGGGCAGGCCAGCTGCACCAAGGCTGCAGAGGCTGGGACCGTAACTGCAGCAGCTCCTCCTGCAAATGGCCACTGTGGTCTGATTATATATTTGGCATTTAATAAAAACCTACCTTAAACATGTTTCTATTCATTTCTCAGCAATTTATATGATAGCTAGAGAGGTAGTTGTAAGCAGGGAACTTGTCAAGTGGTAGATTAGGGAGGAGTGGAAAGAACCCAAGCTTCCTGGATCCATCACCAGGAGTCCCCTTCCCAGCAGTACTACTCTACTCGGAGTAAGCCTCTAACACCCCTTCAGTGGAACAAAAGCCCTGAACTTGAGCCAGCCTCACCTTATCACCAGGTTGCTGAAACATACCTTGGAGGTTTTGCTTCCCCTGGGCCCCCAACTCAAATAGTAGATCAGCTACACAATACACTGAGACACACAGTGAGACACCTCTCTGGTACATACAAGGTTCTCTCCTTGCTACATCTGCAGTGATATTTTCCTGCCTCTGGGACAGTGCCACAAACAACTGACTGTATGGCAGGCCCACCCAGGTCTAACCTCAGAGCACCTCGACACCAGGCACAGAGGTGTACATCAATCAACATTATGGCTCAGTGTGGACTCTGAGAAATCACACGACAGGTAGGAGCTGACGTGCCTCCAATTCAGATGCCTCCAGGGACCAGGCAGTCAGCACGAAGAGAGATGGGGCTCCAGGAGCTGCAGAGTGTGCCCTGCCTAAAGGAGCTCTAGTTAAAAGCGCCTCCAAACTGCTCTTTAGATTCCATAGTAAGAGGGATTAACAGAGCACCAGCAACAAACTTAGAATATTGCCCTGGCTTCATGTAGACTCTCTGCTCCTGGCTCAGAGCGGGGTGAGTCTGGCTCAGGCATGCCCCTGGATAGAGTGGTAACTGAGCAGGTCTTCATGACGAGGTCTTGGTAACATCTGTCCTTCTCTGGTGGTGCTGACGCCTGATTGCAGTAAGATGTGTCCGCTCCTTCAGGGGCGCTTGCATTGTGAAAAAGGAGAGCTAAGGGAGGAGGCTAAACTTACAAGAGGGCTCTGCAGGGAGAAATCTGGGCCCCGGGAAATCTGCAGTGAAATCATGTGAAGGAGGGGCTCTCCTGCCTCTCCGGGCCTCCAGTGGCTGGCAGTGTGAAGGCCGTGGCCCTTGAGGATACCATACGTTGTGTGTCTGTGTAGCTGAGGACACAGAGTAGCTGGAGAAGGTCAAATCATAGGCACGTAGTTGTAATCCAGGACTGTGCAGTTTCCCTCTTGCATCTCTTTTTAAAGTAATTTACACTGACCCCCCTTCCCCCAAATCCACTAACCATCTTTGACGGAGAACCTGTAAGCAGAAGGACGTCCAGGCATCCAGGAGTGTGATGCTTTTAGGGGGACCACTTACAACAGCCCTGGCAGAGCGTGCGTGTCCTCTGTCAGTGCAGTGAGAAGACACCGGCATCGCCTCGTAATTGGAAAAGTAGTCACGAAGCTGCAATAACCATAATCCTAATTGCCCAGTAAAGGAAAAACTGAATTAGTTTTAACGCACCCTGCACCACGAGGGAGTAAATGAACGATTTATCCAGTATCCCGCGTGCGTCAGTGAGTAAGCGTCATTCCATTGGACTAATGGAGACTAGCGCATGTTGAATGAGTAAGATTGGCTTCTTTAATCAGGATTGACTTAGTCTGTTTTACACTCCCTGGAAGACCCTTTTGGATTAAAGGAAACCGAGGTGACAGGACCTGTCAGGCTGTCTTTGGAATCCTCTGAACCTCTGCCCGGCCGGTACCGACGGGCAGATGTGAAAACCCGCTCTCCCAGCGACAGGCACTGGTGAACTTTTCTCTGGGGGGAGATTGGCGCGGACGGAGAAGTCCCTGAAGGCTGCAGCCAAACCAGGTGACAGCCCAGAGCTGCCCCCTGCCTCTGCAGGGCCCCTCCGCCCTTAGCGCAGGATTTGATGCTGTCCCGCCTGTTCCTTGTACCGGGAAGGCGGCGGGTGCCCGGCTGCCCGGGCGCTGGAGGGGCCGCCGGGCCGTCGTTCACGGTGTGCCTTGCTCTCTCCCTCCAGGCCGGGTGCAGATGCTGCCGCAGGCCGTGTGCCTCCTGCAGGCGCTGCTGGGGAGCGGACACACCGTGTACCTGCACTGCAACGCGGGGGTCGGCCGCGCCGCGGCGGCCGTGTGCGGCTGGCTGCACTACGTGCGGGGCTGGCAGCTCAGGAGGGTGCAGTACTTCCTCACGGCCCGCAGGCCCGCCGTGTACGTGGACGAGGAGGCCCTGGCCCGGGCGCAGGAAGACTTTCTCCAGAAGTTTGGGAAGGTGCGCCCTTCCGTGGGCAGCGTGTAGGCGGCCCGGCCGCCCCCCCCTCCCAGGCAGTTTCCTTTGGAAGCCGGGAGTGATGGAAGCGCAGTGACCGGGAAACAAAGATGCCGCCTGGCTTCTCCCCCAGCCCGCCTCCCTAGCCTGGGCCGACTTTCTGTTGCGCTTTGGTTGAGCCCTATCGCCTTAGAAATGTTTTGCAAAGGAAGCTGTGACTGACGCAGGAAAAAGAGCCCCGGGCGGCTGGGCTGTGCTGTTGCTCCAGCCTCAGACAGAAAGGGAGCGCGTGCGGTCCGCTGCCCGCAAGCCCGCCAGCCCTGCTTTACAGACGCTGCGATGGGGGCTACTGGGAAGTCATGACCACGCTGTCTTGCTGCCTTGAAACCTGACCTGCAGAGGAAAGATCAGGGTGTTATGTAGATTCCATCACTGGTACACACACACACACACACACAGAGTTTATCTCCTGAAATTATAAAATGAGAGCTGGTCAGTTGCCAAAGAAGGACATAAGGGTAGAAGCCTGGGCTGTGACAAACTAAGAACTCAACATAACCCCAGCCGATGGCTTTCCGTACCTTGTTTTTGCGTTTTGTTTCAAAGCCTGTTCCCAGGCGTCACCTTCCTTATCGGCCCGCGACCCTGTGTGACACCCAGAGTAGACTCATGTTCTCCCTGTTTGTCTTCATTGAGGCTCAGTGAACACAGACAGCTTGCCCAGGGTTTCGTTTGACTCAGTGCTTTCTCAGCACAACTTGTTTTGCCAGCAAACTGTGGTGGATTCCGTTTCTCTATCTCAGCATAAGGTCGATACTTCTGCTGCAGTTCCTACCATGAGAAATGGAACAGCGTTCTGATCAGGTGCCAAAGAATTTAGGAGAGTGCTCATATTTTGTACAACCTATTTTAAAACGTGGTGGGCTGTCTCAAGGCCAAAGTGGCCTGAGCTGTAGCTCACAAGAGGAGCAATACTAGTACCAAAAAAAAGCCCAAGGAACCCAAACCCATAGGTCATTGTTCCACAGCTTGGGAACGATCCTAATCCACACTCAGTTGAATACAATTCACAGTGACTGTTCCTCCAGAATGTGCACCTTGCTCCGTACGCTCCCGTAGATGCTACAGGAAACACGAAGATTAGCAAGACTTTGCCTTCCAAAGCTCGTAGCCTGGGAATAGCTCTGTGTTGGATCACGTATAATGCAGGATTGAACTGGGAATGCCTTCCTGGAGCAGGGGAAGGGGGAGTAACCTTTGTTGGGTGCCTCTTATGTGCTAGGTGCTTTAGGATCTTATAGCTTTTAATCTTTGCAGTACCCTATGAGAGAGCATTGTTATCTCCATTCTATAGATGAGGAAACTGAGGCCCAGGGAGGCGGAGTCAACTGGGTAGGGCAACATGGTGAGTAGATAGATGAAATGAGATACAAAGTTAGGTGTGTCTGACTCAAAGCCCATATTTTTCCTATTAAACTACAATGCTTATTTACTTTTCTGCTCCGTCTTTCATAAATATTTATTGACAGATGTGAGGGAGTCTGATTTAGGAAGTAAGGGGAGTAGGAAGGATGCAAGGTGAGGCCCAGAGGAGTTCAGAGGAGGGAAAGACGGCTTCTAACTCTGGGACACAGGGGTGGTGGCATTTGATTTGGATGGAGAAGCTTACACAAGACACATTTCTCCCCCAATTTTACAAAGTTAGATTTATAAGTCAAGACTGAATAATGTGAAGCTCAGTTCCCTTGCCAAAAAGAACTAGAGATAACTATTGTATTAAAGTAACCCCTTTATAGTCATAATGTGTTGTATAAAATTTAATCTTAAAAACAAAATATTGCTAATATTTTGTGTGTGTGTGTGTGTGTGTGTGTGTGTGTGTGTGTGATGTCCAAGAAGCCTAGTTATGTAATTTCAACTATAGGAAATCCTTTTGGATGGATCTTTTTTCCCCCCTCTAATAGGCAAAATTATTTTAGGACTGTTAAAGGGCACTTTGGAATAACCTCTCTCTTGTCTTCAATGAATGGATGTCTAATGTATTTCAAAATCACCTTGAATTTTTGCTAAATAAAACCATAAATGACCTCTGTGTACAGGATTTTAAAAAAAAGTTATTAATTTTGTCTGCAATTCCGAAGAACAAACTGTGTTTTCTTATTTGTAATCTAGTTTATTCCTTTGTTTTCAAAGTAACAAACTAAAACCCAGAGACATCAAATGACTCTTATACAGCAAAGAGTTTCAATTGAGGGTGAGAGGGAAGGGAAAAGCTAGGAAGATGGGTCAGGAGATTTATTTTGGTGTTGAGGAGCCATTGGAGAATTCACGGGCATGAGGGCAGACAGTGTAGTTAGTGGGAAAGAATTGGTGAGAGGATTAATGGAAATCGGAGTAAGTGGAAGAAAAACGGCTAAAATGAAAAAAAGGCAAAGAAAAATGAAATTTCCAAAAGAAGCAGCAGCAGGTAAGTTTTTTTTTTATAAAGATACCATTGGAAGGATTGAGAAGGAAGGTGTGACTGTAGAAATAGAGGGGCAGAGAGAGTCAAGGTTATGTTCCCAGGATAGAAAGTCATGCTAAATATCCACTGCAGTAGAAAAAGACAGCTAGACGCAATGCGCTGATGACTGGGAGGGTGTATGGGCATTGATTTATTACTTGCTGGGGGAAAAAAAAAGAAATCTGATAGGGGATGGAACTAAGAATGAAGAGGAAAGGACTGATGAAGCTACTTCTCATTAAAGCACTAATCGTGGGAAGACAATGAGAGGTGCAACAACCGAAACAATGGCTTTGTTCTTCCCGTCCCCAGCCCGTTTCTCCAAAAGTCTTCCCCAGTTCAGGTAACGGACACGTAGTTCTGTCCCTCCACCTGAGTGGTTCTTAACTCCTTTCTTCCTTTCAGAATTCACATTTAACCCATCAGGAAAATCTGTCACCTCTCCTATCAAAATACGTGTTCTAGTCTATGTGTTTCCTCCTCCGCAGAGCAGCCCTGTTAGGGCCTGGTGAGTGATCTCCAGACATAGCCTCCTAGCTGGTCCCCCGGTTTCTGTCCTTCCCTCTCTACCCCCCCCACCACTGTCATATCTACTCTCGCACACAGGCCGGGGCGATCCTATAAAAGTGGTCGGGTCCTGTCACTCCTGTGCTCAAAGCCTCCAGTGATGTGCCATGTCCCTCGGGGGAAAGGCCAGAGCGCTTCAAGGACCTGCGCAGCCCGGCCGGTGGGCCTCTGGCCCGCCCCCTGCTGCGCTCTGCCTCACTCCTGGGCGCACTGGCCTGCTTGCTCTCTGCCTCAGGGCACTGGCACTTGCTGCTCGCTCTGCCCGGAAGGCTCTTTTCCTGTAGGCAGGTGGCTCCCCCCATTCCCCCTTCACGGACCGCCTACCGAGAGCTGCCATATCCGACCTCAGCCCTTCCTATGCTCACTTTTTGCTTTATCTCCCTTTGTGGAACTTACTCCTGGCCAATATATTACATCATTTTGCTTATTTGCTTTATCGCCTGCCTTCTCTCGCTACACTGAACTTCACAAAGGTACACGTTTGTCTGGGTTTTGTTTGATGATGTACCTGTTGTGCCTGTCATGGAGTCTGGCGTGTAGTTCAATGAGTGAAGGTCAAGAATAGCTAATACGTGCTGACAGCACACGCGTCCCGTGGGCTGTTCTCTACGGGCTTTGCACGTGTCCGTTGACTTAATCCTCCCAACAGTGCTAGGAGGTAGATACTGTTTTTACCCCTACTTTACAGACCAGAAAACTAGAGGCACAGGAGAAACGCGAATTTATTTTAAGGCAAGTCAGTTTGACTCCTGGCTTGGTAGAGTGAGCTCATGAACCCCCCTTTACAAACTCTCGCCGCACGGCGTGTATTAGTTTGCCAGGGCAGCCGTAAGAAAGTACCACGAACTGGCTGGCGTAAGCAGCAGAAATGCGTTGTTTCACAGCCCTGGAAGAAGGTCGCAGCATCAGCAGGTTGATTCCTTCTGGGGGATGTGAGGGAGAGCCTTCCCAGGCCTCTCCCCGAATTTCTGGGGGTTGGCTGGCAGTCTTCGGCATTCCTTGGTGTGTAGATTCTCCCCATGAGTTTGTATGTGTGTCCACATTTCCCTTCCATATATTTTGTTGAGCATATAAATAGCTGCAGGCCTCAGAAAGTCATAAATAAAACTCACAACTAAAAGATTAGGTNAGGCCTCAGAAAGTCATAAATAAAACTCACAACTAAAAGATCAGGCGAACCTATTGACCTGTTATATTTCAGAGAAAACTGCAGATTTGGTCGTCAGAATTGTTATTACATTGGCCGTATTCCCTTGTGAAGTTAACACCAAGTTTTTCTTACTTCTAGTATATTGTTTTTCCAGATATAATAAAAATTTACCTCAGTACTTTAAAAGAATCATATTTCTGTACACAGGAAAATTTTTGAGTATTCTTATATAGTAAGTGAATTATTTTAATAAATTAAGCTGCTGATTAGAAAATGGAGCTGACACTCCTTGGAATATATTAGATCATGACATATGTAAACCGATTAGATAAAAGAGCCTTGTATATATCACTGGCAAGCAGCAATTGAAGTCTTTAGAGGACATTTTTTATTTTCTGTATTTAAATAGTTCTGGATATGCATGATGCAAAACAATTGATATAAAAGTTCTCTTTCACAAGGTGATTTTAAAGTGTCCATAAGCAAATTTCTACTTTAATTTGAAGCATTAGCTGGTATTATTCCTCTAGGAATCACTTTCACAAAAATGTTTGCTGTTGGTACAGAATATATGTTATCCCTCAGTGGTCTCTTTTCTTTTGAATAAAGGAGAACTCTTTGACCTGTGATGCATAATTAATGGTGTGTGTGTGTTTTTTATGACAGAAATAGAGAATAAAGGAAATTTACATTGGAGTAAATCCACAGCTCATAACTGAAGTGTTATCAATAAGATATTTTGCATAAATAAATAAATAAAGGGAGAGGCTGGGTTTAGTTCAAGTGAAAACAATCCAGGGCCTTTAAATG